ATTATTTAAAATAGATTAAAAGGTTGTTATAGTACTTACTACAATTATAATATTTTATTGTTATAATATTTAGAATGCTGATGACATTAATTATAGTAAGAGATTTCTTGAAGACCAACTTGACAGACTACAGGTAATTTTATTTTATTTAATAAATAGAGTATAACTAGTTAATATCATTAAGATATAGGAATTAATCAGGCTTACAAAGGCATACAAACATTATGTTGTTTTACTGATTAATAGAGGCTACTTATGTACTTGTTTGGCAGTTATTAATTGTGGTATTGTATGTTTACATTTTTTTCATATAATAATAAATTCAAAAACTGCAAAATTCAATATTAATCTAATTTTGAAGCAATGGTATATAGAAACTTTTTAGGATAATGTTCATTCAAATTTGCAAAATGAATCAGTAGAAGTAATTATACAATTTTAGCAAATTGATAATAATGACTATATTATAAATGATTTTTATATTTTTAATTAAATTAAAGCACCACATGTATTCACTGCTAAAATACAACAATGTGTTCAAAAAAAAGCTAAATATTCACATAGCTTCGAAAAAGTTAAGAAGGCACTTAATATGGCTCTTGGTTTAAAGTATGAAAATAAATTCATTAATTTGATTGATGGATTTATTAATCATAAGAAAAGCAGTATCAAAAGTACAAATAAAGAAAATATGCAGGTGCTAATATCAGATCCCATAGTTATTAAGCATTATGGATGTTTATTAAACAAACAAATCAAAGCATCATTAGAAAGCAATGTACAATATAATAGAACTAACAATAGTGCACTTAATTTACCTGATCCTAATTTATGCATACAATCAACTGAACAATCAAATAATGCAACTATATTAAAAGTTTCTTTAAAACTTATAAATGTTAAAGAGTTGTATAAGACAAATAAAGATTTTTTAACTAAATCTTTAATAATACAAACAAATGATAATGAAAGCAAGTGCAAATATATCTGTTAAGCATGTAGTGAATCTAGGCACAATTCTAGGAGCTGTAATTAGTACTAATTAGCTTGCCATTTTGTTTATTATTTATGCAAATTGATCTATATGTCTTGTATTGTAACTTGCTTTTGTTTATTATTTATAAAAATTGACTTATATGCCTTGATTATTTAATGCTTTTTATTTGTTATTGTTTTTAGTGAATTATACTATTATATTGTTTTGATTACATCTTATACTAAATTTACTTTGCATATGAATATCACTAAAAGAAAGCAGAAATTAGGCTTTTAATTATATTTGATGCTAAATACTGTTTTTAGCAAATTAAATAAATAGTGTCTGGTACCAATAATAATTAAAAGCCCAATTTCTGGTTTTTTTTGTTACACTCATATAAGGTTCATAGAAAGGCATTTGTTTAATCAGCTGATTTGAATATATTACCCAGATAACTAATTTATATAGTTCGAAATACTTCTAAATATTCATTATATAAAATAATTCCAAATAATTCAAAGTTAAATATTTTATTTGAAAGACAAGTATTATAAATGCAGAAATGCAGGTTGGGTGGTTAATGACAAATTTGATAATCTATTAGCAAGTTATGCTAGTTAAAGTTAGAGTTAAAGTTAGAGTTATGAAAAAATACTTTCTGTTAACATATAGTTAAAGTTAGAGTTAGAATATACTTATGTTAGCATATAGTTACAGTTAGGATTAGAATTATATATCATGTTAGTATGTTAGAATTATAGGTTTATATAAATAATTTAAGTATTAGTCTATAGAGTCTAATTAACTATAATATGTTTAGATATAAGAAACACATTATTAAATTTATTAACCTGACTATACTACTTTATATGCAGTACTTATTTATGAAGTATTTGTTTTACATAGAAGTTATACAAACATATATATAAATTTATATATTATTTATTAATTTTGTGTAACCTTTTTTATGCATTTTTATACATCATATGACTTAGTGATTATTATTACTAGTTATAGTTATCAAAATTCTTAAATAAAATTAATGAATTCTACTTAAGATTTTTGAAAAAACCAACTATAATAAAGCAAAAAGAAAGCTATAGAAAAGGTTTCATTAGAACTATAGAACTTTATAATCAAAAATACGATTTAATATTTGTTTAATTAAAAAAATTAACTTATTAATAAGTTGATTCTATTAGGTTTTGAGAAGTTATTACTATATTAACTTTTTTAAACAAATAAGGATTAGATCTTATTTTTAGAAATAGAATTTTACTGCTTTAATAAAATCTTTAATACTAATTTTTTTATTTTATTATGATTAGGTTTTATTTTTTAAAAAAATTACTTTGACTATATAAATAGTATAAAATTAAATTGAATTTATAAGCCAGTTAGACAAACATCTGCTTATAACTGACTGCTATATAGTTGGTTAGCTAATGTTATCCAGTTCAAATGAATTTGACTTAAAATTTTAAGGCTTTGCAAAAAAATATTAAAATTTACGAAATATAGTTTAGTGTAAAATGATAATCAAATTCTTTTAATTAAGTTTTTGATAATCAGTAATTATTATTTTATTTGCTTAATAAAAAATTTAATGAAAAAAAATAAAAATTACAAAATATTTAGCATTGAGGCCTTTAAATTTACATTGAATCACTAATTTTTAAGTTTAAAAAAATTATTTTATTATTGTTTATTAATTTTACAAATGATATGTTCCTTTATAAGTTTTTTTTTAAAATATTAAATGATAAATAAGTTATATAAACTATCAACTCCAAGACCTAGCATATAAAAACATTTATTTCTGGTACCTATCTTTAAAAGTGTTGTTTAGGGTACTTTACAAGAACACAATGAGGATTACCCAATTATATACTAAGAATTACATATCCTATTTCATTCTTAAATAATAATCAGTAGAATATATTTAATTTATTAATAATTATTTTGACTGTTTTTTAGATTATTCATATTTGGCATAGTGTGTACTCACTTTATAACTAAAAATTTGACATAGTGTATACTCACTTCACACCAGAAATTTAACATGAGATATATATATATTTAGTTAGAACAAAATAATTAAAACATATAAAACATTACTTTAAAATATAACTGTAGATTAGTAATAAAATAGATTGTCATAAAATGCAACTTTATTTATTACAATAATTAGTAGATCCTCTTGGTTTTGAAAAGTGCACTAACTATTTATATAAATTTTAATAAGATTTTTATAAGGTATTTTTGTATTGCATTTATTGCATATTTGCAATATATGTTCTGCAATATGCAAATTTGCAATATGCTACTATTGTATGCCATAATAGTTTTAATTTATAAAAAACTTTTTTCATAAGTATTTTTTAACTTTTCAATATTATTTTATATATTGGTTTTCAAATATTCACAATTTTTTTTTTGAATTAAATTTTTTTTCAGATAGATAAATTGATAATCATTAATTATTAAAGACTATAGTGAAAGATATTTTGAAAAATAATATAATTTTTAATATTAAACTTTTTTTTATATATCTTTACAACAGTTTAGTTATATTTAAATAATTATTGAATATATTATACTTTGATAATTATTATGATATTTTATACAATTAGGTCATTATTTATATTTAATATGATAATTAGTTAGAATCTAATAGTTAGTATTAAAGGATTCTTTCTTGTACTAATTAGGCTTTTTAAGATTTTTTTCTTGTCTTTGTACATTGAAGTAAATTATAGGTTTTGTATTTAATACTTGTAGTACTGGATTAAACTTAATTAGAAATAAAAGAATTTATAAGAAAAATTATTATTAATTTATTATTACTTAACTCAATTATTATTACTGTAATGCTTGAAACTTAAAAAAAAATAAATTGCTAATTAAGTTTTAAAATCAGTCTATTTTTTTATATTATCATTAGTATAAAAACAAATTTTAATTAATATAAACTTGAAAAAGATAAAACCAGTCTGATTTTTATTATCAATAGATAACTATGAAAGATTTATATAACCTATACAAATTTGGCCAAATTAAATTTATTATATATATATGTGAATTAAATAACAAATTAAGATAACTTTAAACAACATATTTGTTATTTCTTGTATAATTTAAAAGTTAAAATTTTATATGACAGTTAACATTAATAATAAATAATCTGATAATAAATTTATAATAAAATTTATATTAATTGTATTCTAAAATCATCTTTAAGACTCTAAATTATAATATCTAATTAACATATAAATTTTATCTTATAAAAATAGTTTACAACATAATGTTTATTTTTAAAAAAAAAATTTGATCAAAATTAGGAAATAAATCTTATATCAATATACAAGCAATAAATAAATTAAATTTTAATTAAATTTGCTAAGCCAACTTAAAATTTATTAGTAAAAAATAAAATTAATTAAAATAAATTAAAGCCATATAACAACAAAATAAAATAAATTAAACATACTACAAAAATAAAATAAAAAAATAAATTCTTATAACTGATTACAAAAAAAATTAAAACATTTAGGATTTTAAATTATATAAATAACTTATAAATCAAAACATAATTAAACACTACATATCTCAAATATAAAGCAAATTAAAATTTTCAATACTAACTTACTATAAACTTCTAACTATTATATTATATTACATATTAACTAAATAACAAAAATAACAAAAATACTACAACTATCAAGCCAATATCCAATTTCAAATTCTTATTATAAACTTTTTTTAAAATTATGTTACAATATAATAATAAACTCTACTACCTAAACAATTCAACTACAATAAACAATTCTACTATTTACTGCATTACAAATTTAATATATAACAAAATACAACTATAAATTTATCAATAATAAACCTAGTACACTTATTAAACTTATAAAAAAATAGGTATAATACTATTTTTACTTCTAGTTAATATTTTTAAATAAAAAGCAAGTACCTTAAAGATCTATAGATCAAATTATATTTAGTATTTAACATTAGTAAATAATATTCTATATATAGTATTTTAACTTAACAAGGGATACAATAAAAATTATATGTAGTCAACAAGTGCTAATTCAAATCTGAAGCATTTAATTGTGATCTAAATAACAATCAATAATTATTATTTCATCAATTTAATAAAAAATACTATGAAAAAAAAACAAAAAATCCTTAAAATCTAATGAATATATGTAATAATTCACATCAGACCACCAGTATTTGTGCTAAAAAATTATCCTTTTACTATTATTTATTATAACATCTTTAATTTAATAGTGTTTTGAGTTTTATTTTTATTTATCTTATATATATATGGTAGACATTTATAGGTATAATAGTCAAGCAACTAGTATAAGATATAAAATAATATATAGAAAATAACAATATATAATAAATAGAATTATACAGACCAATCAAGTGCTAAGAATTGTATATATATATTAATTTGTCTATAAATGCATGTCTGTAATCTGTAACAAATTAAGTTACTGACTTCAATTATTATAACTATGTCTTTTAGTTCATAATAAAAAAACTATTGTATTTAGTAATTTGAAAAGTTTATTATTACAAAGATAAGATTGAATATATAAAAAATGATTTGATCATATTTTGTTATTTATTTTTTTGTTATTTTATAATTTTTCTTTTTTATCTAATATAGGTGTACAAATTAAAGATTAAAATAACCCTATCAACTTCTAAAATTTTAATTTTTTGATAAAGTTTATAAAAAAAAATTTTAGTATAAAATGTCTTACAGATTATATAAATTTGGATATAATTTAAAAAAAATAACTTATAAAATAACTTATAAAATAAGATTAAGAAATTGGAAAGAATGATATTTTCTAACATTACTTCATCTTTAATTATTAATTCAAACTGTCAAAATATTAGGTAAACATTATGAACTGTGTTAGATAAATTCAAAGATCAGTTCAGTATTATGTAACAAAATACAATCCTCTAAATATTTTTCTTTATAA